CCCATTGAAGCCCATTCCTTCCTCTCTCTCTCTCTCTATTATATGTACAATTGTCGTTAAAATGTCTCCGGGAAGTCAGCCCGGTGCATTTGACCAGTGTTTTCTTGACTTGATGGCAGTGGCCCCGTAATCCCTGGAATGCAAGACCGTTGGTAATGCTATATCGTTCTGCAACAATGTTGAGATGTATTTCAACTTCTTTGGAACGCTCAACGAGACTTCTGGAGACGGAACTACAGCCAGGGGACCTCCAACATTCAGCGCTCACTATCAAGGCCGTGAACATTGGGTTTAAAATCCCGAAGAAGACTTCAAAGAGAATAAAGAGAATGATGCGATAAATGGGGTCACGTGCCGGTGAATTCAAGCTGGATATTCGTTACATTGAAGAAAACCATAAGTCTTCCGCGAGGAATTCACTTGTTTCTGGTAAATTCCGTTGTCACGTTGACAGACGAGCGAAATTAAAACGCGTTTAACCGGAGGATCTCACACCACAAAAAAATGTTAGGATGTTTTTGCCCATCACATGCGCCACTTTACGGAGATCCGCGTGTACCCACGGATTCTCCAGTTCAATGAAATATTTCGAATTGAGTCGGCGTTTTTTTGGGTTAACCCAGACGGTTAAATCGAAATCCATGAAGGTTGCGGTTCTCGGGGCTGGCGGAAGAACCGGTGGGTATTTTATAATTATTTTATTATAATCGTTGTAACGGTTCTGCGTAATTAGTGTTCAGTGAGAGAAAAAATTAGTTCTTTCGAAAAATTGGGGTTCCCTGGAGAGATCTTTTGTCGTGTTGAATCAATTTACTTGTGGACAAAAAAGAAAGTTCCCACCAAAATATAGTAATTTTCGTAGTAGTAATTGTTCTCGTCTACGGAGAGGAATCCTCTGGACAATTTTGAGTATTAGCACGAGAGAAGGGCGCAAAGTGACGGCCATGGAAAAAATCCAATGCCGGAACTGAAAATTTTATTGAGTACAGTGGTTACTCCCTAACATTTCGGTTCCCTAATATTTCAGTCGGAGAGGTTGACTTCCCTCACCATCGACAATGTAAATGTGTTTGGGTAAATCTGTGTGTCCCTCTGCGCGACGGAACTGCGCAGTAACATTACTCACGGCGTGTGAGAGTGAAACAGGCAGATTCTTTCTCTCTGTTTTTCTCTTTCCTAGCTCCGCCTCCAGCGGAAGAGTAAAGCTCTCCGAAGATTTAATTCCTTGAGTTCTGGCCCCAGAGGCTGAAATGTTTGGGAGTAACTACTGTAATACGTAAATTTCTTCCCATTCTTATATGAAATTTTCACAGAAATTCCTAGAGATTTTACCTTATTGTTTTCTAACGGTTTAAGGATGTTTAACCTGTCAAGTCCACAACTCAGTTGAAAGGAAAAATAAAATTGACTAAATAAATCATTCACGTTACAAATTATTTTTCTCATCAAATTAGAAGTGTTATGGTCTACTTTTCCCCAGCTTGATCCCTGATCGACCCCTCATCAACCCCTTGAATTTCTTAATTTTGGCCTTTTCTTTCTGTACCCCACTATGCCCCGGCCACCCCGCTTTGCCCCGCTCTCCCCTACGTTTGTCCGTTATTAAGGTGTTGATATAGTTTTTCGGCAGAGCTAATTATTTTTCTCAGTTCTCTCTGATGTTTATGTATTCTCTTATTCTAAAGGCAATGCTCTGTCATTTTTTCTCAAACACTGCTCGTTGATTGACGAGTTGGCGCTCTACGATGTGACACCGGTGTGCCACGTGGGCATGGAATTGAATCACGTGGACACGAAGTGCAGGGTTTCCACAGGGTTGCCTGGGGAGGAGGGGCTCAAATCTGTTCTGGAGGATTCGAAGATTGTGGTGATTACGGCGGGCCTGCCATCGCCTGATGGGAAGGATCATAAAGATATTCTGATGCCGAACGCGGAGATATTGGCTTATTATGTCTTGAGCGTTATTAAGCATTCGCCGAGGGTGAGGCAACAATATCTGACATTTCCACTTATTTTAAGGAGAGTTTCCCATAAGAGTCAGACACGAAGTCCTAGTTTTCAGTAATTTCTTCTTGTTGTCTTTTCGGCGCATTCGTGAATCCCTGCCTACGGTCATTATGACAAACAATATCGTTCGCCAAATGGCCGAAAAAAAATTCTAGCTCATATGATTGCATCGCTAGTAGAAATTTCATTGCGCAGAAACGTCGCGGCGTAAGTTGGCCCGCGACATTGGAAAGGGATAATGAAATTTCAAATTATACTGGATTTTTAATTAATTGAGAATTTAAGAATATATCTACATGAATTCACCCAAATTCTATGAAAAAAATCCTGAAAATATGGGAAATTACTAGGCACTTGTTCCAAGGAGATTTTTCATTAAGAGTCAGACATGAAGGTCCGATTTTCACTACTTTCTTATTAAAGTTAACAAAATTGTACGTAAAATGATCCGCAGTCTCGGGGAATCTAGGTTTTTTATTTCAGAACATTTATGTTGTTTAATTAACAACATTTTCGTTTGTAAATTGATCATTTTTTCTACTCTAAAAAGTGTTTACTCATGTTTCAAGCATCTTTCTAAATATCTTTAAAATCATAATAATTCTATCGCGAAGTAATCCATAACTGCTTTGCTATTAAAAGTACAACACTTTCAGTAACATCAATCAACTGAAAATCTGATCAATTCTCATAGAAAAATTCAATTAAAACTCACAGTTCCCATTGATTTTCTCACGAAAATGGCAATTCTCCACGACAAAATAATTTCAAATTTCATTGAAATTGCTACTTGATAAAAATTTCCAAAGTGATCCAAAAACTTCAGCCAAAAAATTCTTCAAAACCGCAGTTCACAACAGATCTTCTCAATTTAAGAATTCGACTTTCTTCACGGAGAGAAATGTCCAGTAAAAATTGCGAAACTCACAGTTCGCTCACCGATTACGGACTCGACTCAGAAACTTTAAGTGACGGTATCATAATTTTTCACAGGAGATTCAGGTGAAAATTACGGAACGCGCTGGAAGAATTTCATGATAGTTCTGTAAAATTTCCTGCAACCCCATTGCGCGCTGGAGTTACGGAAGATACGTAATTTTTATTGAATATTTCTCTCCGTGTTGATTTACCAACTCGAGACTTTCCGAGCAAGCGAAGAAAACTCTTCATTTCCCCTTCGCATGATCCCGTGACACCAAAAAAAAGTTTACTGTCGGAGCAGAATTGCCCTCGTGATTACCTGAGTTCCGCCGTAATTTTCCCTCAACATTACTCTCCGGGTACAATAACTTCCTCCCCGCGGGCCGGAAGGTTAAAAATGTCTCAATCTCCTCGATTAGCACACGTGATATTTTCAACGGGGTAAATGCTGCACTGGGGCTCCTCCCGTGGGGCTAAATAATGAGCTGAACCGAGTAACACAACTATTTGCCTTTAGCACTTGAGTGCAATGGCGAGTGGCCGGATGTGGTTGACCTTGTCTCGTTACGCGTCTTCATTAATTTAACACTCTGAAAAGAGCCGGGGGTGGAGGGACAAGGGGGAGGGTTGAAGGATGAGCTGAGGGGAGAGTGAACACTGAATTAACGCGAACAAAGGAGACAAGGCGCGACAAATCCCCGGGGTTTCTTTACGAACTCATTTTTATCTCTTGCAATCCAGCGAGAAAGACATCTCTGAGAAATTACAAGGCTTTTTTCCTCGATTCTTTCGCTTTTTTTTAAGGCCCTTGTGGCAGTTGCCACGAGTCCAATAAACCAACTCATCCCACTGGCTGGTGAATTGTACAAGAGATACGGAATCTTTGATTACAATCGTTTATTCGGAATTACGACACTGGACTGCGTACGTGCGAATACCTTTGCCGCTGAGATTCTGGGGTTTGAGCCGGAGTGTCTCGTTGTACCTGTCATTGGGGGCTCCTGCTCAAGGACACGTGTACCACTGTTCTCACAGACGCAGCCCTGCAATGAATTCACGAATGTATGTTGCATGGGGTTTGCCAATGGGTGGGGAAAATTTATGACAATTAGAGAATGGTATTTTTTGCTGTTGTACTAGTCGTTGACTTGATGAGTTCTTAGGAAGAAATTAGCAAGCTCACTCATGCTGTTAGAATGGCGGAGGAGGAGGTGACGAAAGAGTACAGAGGGGGAATGGGAAAGGCGTCCGTGACAATGGGATTTGCTGCTGCTAGATTCTGCATGTCTCTGTGTAAAGGTGAGGCGAAGCATTCGTTTTCAGGAGTTAATTTTTTAGGTGCGGATGTTCACGTGCTTTGGATGTATTTTTTTTCGGTGGAATTCTCTTTAACGTTTGCAGTTTTTTGTGGTTCTATTGGGAAAATTGGAACTTTATGGACTGTTGATGGAGGAGAGTGAAATTTAGTAGCGAAGTGGGAAAACAGTTTAAGTCGACTGATCTCGCAGTTGAGTTTTTGAGGAATATTTCGGACTCTAAGGGAGATAGCGAAATTTTCGTAATTAGATTTCTTGTGGCTCTCAATCGGCTCTACTAAAAAGGTTATGACAAAAATTTTGCTATCTCCCTTAGATTCCGAGATATTCATTGAAAACTGGTCAATAGTCAAAATTGACTTGTACCGTTTTACCACGTCGCTACTGAATTGAATTCGATTTAAGGAGAACCAGTGGGATATTGCTGTCGTCACGACATAGCCGATATATTTTTGCTAATAAGTTAACGATTTGCTTCCGAATGGAATTTATATGAACATGTATTTTAAATTGAATTCAATGATTCCTTGAATTCAACATTGTCCCAACGTTAACATCTCTAGCCTTTCCTTGAATATTCGTTTAAAAATAAAAATTTTCAACAGCAGATGTTGCAATTAATCTCATCATCGAACTCGGTCAAGATGACATTGGGATGGATGTTTTCAATCACAATTGGATACATTAAAAAAATTATACATACATCAGGACATGGTCTAAAAATAATCCATTCAAACTCCTGAGGCCAAAAAATGGCAAATTTCGGATTTGATGAATACAATGCTTCCATTTGAAAGGAAAAATCATGAAATTTCAGATTTCACTGATAATTTCCTCAGTTATCATTTTGGCTAATCAGAGTGCAGTATTTGGGGTCACGTGGTACTTTCGTATCACTTTTATTTTGGAAATTCAATAAAATTCCAGATTTTATAAAGAATTCAAAGAGATTTTGAACGTTTGAGCAGCAGGAAAACGATAACTCCTCAACTATTCTATTCTAAATTATGCAGAATTTAGAATTAATTGAAAATTCAAGGCTCAATTCACAAGAATTCTCCTAATTTCTATAATATTCCATGGACTAATTGAACTGAGATTTCTAATTCTGGATTTTCAATTACGAAATTCCTTGAAATTTTGTCTGAAGCAATTGACCCTCCTACTGTCAATTGGTGCGATAATGGCATCGAAATTTTCAAGAAGTGTACTAGAAATTGCAGACAAAAATTTTATTATTTAAGCATTGGAGGTCTTAATTTCATTCTTTACTTCAAAGTGGTGTGGAATCTTTTAAGTTAAAAAATTTTAAAATTTGTACTTTTCATATATCATTTATAAGCGATAAATTTTCTACTTTCATAGCAATTTCTAGAAAATTCTATCAGTTTCGGCCATTTTTTGAATTTCACAAAAGAAACCTCCAGAATAACATTTCTGAGAGTTTGAATAATGTTTATAATTATTGTTAAAGGGAATGCTTGAAAAATAAATGTTTTTGTTGCTTTCTTCTAAGAGTCCACGACCCGAAATCTGCACAGAAACTGTTGCGCACATTGGTTCAGACTTTTTTGAAAACATAATTCCTTCACATTCTATTCCGAAGCAAAATCCCTCGCAAAATCGCGACAGCACTTGGATATCTTTAACGAGCGACAAGGGAGATGAGGACTTCATATCAATTTGATTTATCTTTTATGGTAACTTATATGGCTGACTACAATCAGGCCTCCAAGATCAGCGTGGTGTTGTGGAATGCGCCTATGTGCGTTCCTGCGTGCTACCGGAAGTGACGTACTTGACGGCGCCAGTTGAACTCGGCCCTGACGGAATACAGAGGCATCTGGGTATCCCCCCCCTGACGAACTACGAGTGCAAACTACTCGAGGATGCAATACCAATTATCAAGAATTCTATCAGAACCGGCGAGGTAGTAATTATCCGTTTTCATAATTTAATTTGTGATAGATGCGTGAAGGACAAGTTGGAGCACGCAGAACAAAAAGTTTTGATTTTCAGGGAGTTGTCACTGATTTTCACTGATCTATTCTTAAATTTACAAGACGGCTCACGGACGAAAAAATTCAATAGAAAAACCTACCAAATTCGTTAGAAAATTCTATTGAATTTCTACTGAACTGTTCTTAGTTTTTGGCCGTTTGAAATGTTCAATAGAAACTATTCAGTAGAAAAAGTCAATACAATTCAATTGTTCTATATAACTTATTCTATTGAGATATTTTCTACAGAATTTCCTCGGCTCAAATTTTCGAAGCTTTATCGTTAAATATTCTTGATGAGAAAAAAAGAAAAATGGAATGGAAAAATCTTAGAAAATTTGAGTCGAGCAAATTATATAGAAAAATCGAATTCTGTTGACTTTTTCTACTGAATGTTTTCTATTGAACATGTCAATACAATCAGCCAAAAACTAATAGAAAGTTTAATAGAAATTCAATAGAATTTTCTAACGAATTCGATAGATTCTTCTTCTAAATTTTTTCGTGCGTGCTGACATAAAATTTTCCAATTGAAAATTTTCAGTCACTCTTTCAGTCTGACTGAAAATTCATGAAATCGCTTCCATTCGGACGGAAAAATCATGAAATCATGGAATGAGATTTATCGCCTCTTTAGCCAAATATTTCGTTGTTGTAAGCAGCACAATTGTTCATGTTCAGAACAGAGAAATTATAGAAAACTCAGCTCCATGCAAGTTCCTTATTCCACTAATAGAAATCACTAATAATTAGGGTTTTTATCCCGGTGGCTTGGCGCAGTGGGTAAGTTCGTTGTCTCACATGCGAAAGGTTCCGAGTTCAAATCCCGGCCGGGTGGAATGGTGCGATCTAACCATTTAAAGTCTTGATCATCATCTAAGTCTATCTTTTGTTTGTTTAATCCCAGTATACCCTAACCGGGTCGAAGCGATGTAAAATAACGATAAAAAAAAATTAGGGTTGTTATAGTCAGTATCTAGTATCACCAATAATTCATAAATTCCTCAAAATCAGTGAAATATCACTGGAAATTAGTGACATGGTCCTGAAAATTAAAAAGAAAATTCTCTGCGCAGTTGAGGATCGCAAGACTGCTGAACGCGTTATCTGAGATTAAATATTAGGGCAAACAAACGAGTCTGCTTTCGTAGACTCTAATGAAACTGCACCCGCGCACGCATATGTTTTCATTAGTATCAGCGATACTGGGTTATTAACCGACGCGTGCCACAACGTGATCCCCAACTCAACGCCATCAACTATACATAGCCTCGAAATGGGGAATGAGGGGACGATAAGGCGAGAAGAATTTGAGCAAATGAGAGGATCATTTTAGTTGCTTTGTCAGCTTGTTTACCCTTTCTGTTCCAGGCACTCGCTCTTGGGCCACGTGTCACTTCCACGGAAATGTGCCCCACTTATGATGATGATTGTGATCAAGAGGTGTCGCGTAATATGCGAATAAGCAGTGTGCGTCCTTCACCTTGTTCAACTTCTTAAATTACCAATCACGAAGTTCAATAAAAATATTTTGTTATAATGATAGGCGATTGCAAATGTGGTACATGCCGAGAAAAATGTGGTGCAAATGCAAATTACTCTGGTGTGGATGTCAAATGTGCAGTGCAATTTGTTTTGCGCGCATGAAAAAATTTCTTGGAAAAATTTAACGACATCGATAGAAAATTCTTTTAGTGTGGGACCAATAAACTGTCCGATAGAAAATATTTTAGTGAACAATTTGTAGAATTTCAACTTTCTATGCAATTTTTTCCATAGAAAAAATTCCTCAACATGAATTTGAAAAATCATTTGAAATTTGAAAAATCAAACAAAAAAATCGCAACCGCCCAGGAATTTCTATAGAAAATACCTCAATAGAATAAGTTGTGTAGAAAAATGGAATTCTATTGGTTTTTCTATAGATTTTTTTTCGTGCGGATAAGTTGCGGAATTTTTCGATAGAATCGGCGAAAAAACAGACCTCCGTATTGATTTGAGATGAATAAAAAAGCAAATAGAAAGCAAATTCAACTTTGAATAAAAATTAATCGCAAGTTATTTGAATAAACCCATCGAATTGATTGAAATAAAGTTTATTTAATTGGAATGAATGAAGTAATTTTTGTGGGTACTTGGCTACTTTTTAATGAAAAAGCCAGAAAATTTCGCGATAATTTACTGGATTCCTTGTATCCGAGAGCCCATAGCAATCAGGTTTGCAGAATTAAGCTCCCCTGGGTTGAGAGAACCCATTCATTCGTAAATTGCAACCTGGGAGTGTCCTGACGATTCTCACTGGCACTTAACATCACTGGATTCGGATCTTCGGGGCTTAACGAGTCCAATTCCACGTCCTTGGGGATCAGAACTAAGTAGCATAATAAACATTCACAGCTACCACATCATCACATTTCTTGCATTGCATGCATTAAGATCTCGGATAATTTCACACCTGCGTTAACGTCACTTTTTATTTTTCGATTGCAAGTTAAAATTAGGCTCCTCCGTTGTGGAGTATACGAGTATTATTTCCATTTCCAATCTGGGTTAAATGTTTCCCTTTAACCAATGCTATTTTTAACAAATCACTAGTGGCAGTCGAAGGAAGTGGTTCAATGGCCTACGGATCTGGAATGTGTCAGCTGCGGACTCCGGAGAGTGAGGGATTAAATACGAGAGTCGACCAATACTGAGATTTTTCTCGAATGTTTCCGGGATAGCGGGAATAGAAATTATAACCAGGACATAATGAATTCCGATTTGATAATCGTAATTTTTTTGTGTTGAATCGTCGACGGTTTTCTTGAATAAGAACCCAAGCAATTTGCACTAAATTTCAAAGACAGTTTCATCTACGATTTCATTCAATTTATTTGAATTTCCAATCTAATATGAATACTCAGTACCAAATTACATTGAATTTTCAGTGAACCCTGAAATTTCATGATTTGTCCCCCAAAATGCATTCAGTGTCACAGTCCTGAAAATTCAAGAATACATTTACCGGAATTCTATGGTTTTCTATTCATTTTCAGGGAAAAATGGACCTGAAATTGACAGTTCTCTTTGAATTTTCCATTTCCATTTGATATTCAGTGGTAATTAAATTCGATAAAAATTTCCAAAGAGTGTATCGGAAATTTCAGACAAAAATTTTTAACAGTGCAGGCTATTTCGGTTTTTTCATAGGGGTTTTGAAAACATTAAAGAATGTTTTAATTTTCGCATGGGGAGATATTACTGGGAAAGTCTAGTCATCTTGCAGAGAAATTCCGCCTTTTTTCTGCGCACAAAATTCTTAAATTCTGCAATTGTGCTCTGAAACCTATTTTTCTGCGCGTAAAAAATTCAAGAAAAAACCCACATATCTGGCAACACAGCATACAATCCCATCGCCAAGAGTTATTACCCTCCCGCGTATTAATTGCCCGCGTTGCCCAGCTCCTCAAGCCCGAGATCAATCACGCGTATTAACATTAATTGCATTGGATGTCCTGCGGTGAACTCAAGGTAAACCGTATTTTTCCCAATTTTTCATGCCGACTTCACGGGCTCCCCAAGACAAATGTCCCTCAACTTCCTCCCCAGGTGGGGTTATCTCGGCCGGAACTCGCTCGTGCAGATATCAAGACCCTACACGTCTGTATCGATATATCAAAGACATTTAGCGAGGAACTCTGGCGCCTCGTTGAGGTCAATCTCCCCCTTTCATCCATTCAATGCATTAACAGCTCGACTTTATTCACGATTTAGTTTCTTGGGTGTCTTCTTTCTCGTTGTTACGAGTAATCCCGCCTGGTAACTATAAATAACGCCCTCGTGGCGAGAGGCGAAAAAAATGTTAAAGAGAGAGGAGAGGGAGAAAGAGAGAGAGAGAGAGAGAGAGAGCGCGGCGAAAGACCCCACTCACGAAGAATAACACACCATAATGCACCCGTGGAATTTTCATCGTCTGCCTTTCGCAGCACCACAGAGCGGTGATCTCACGGCCACGATCGACGGCCTGCCACGCGTCGTCGCTCCTGCGAATTACGAGGACCCACGTGTGTGTGTATTATGGGTATCTGTAGTTGTTGGCGATCTCTGCGGGTTCATAAACTTCTGCATTTCATGCTCTTACGTGTGGAGTTGGTTTTTTTCTTCTCGTTCATGAAATCTCTTCGACGGGGAGAATTAAAAATTATGATTTTTCCTTTTATTTTTTCAAGTACGGGAAGATATTTATCATTCTGACGGGACTGAACACTTTATCGTTCGCGATAATCCTCGCTTCCATTTATTTATTTGTAAAATACTTCTCAATATTTTTAATTCTTGCGTTTACGGAGAATAGAATGTTAAAAATGAGCGAAGTGTTGCGGGGTTGGGTCAAAATATCCGGGGATTTTAACGAGCCGGGGTTTATTTAGTTTTTTCTCGGCGGGAGTAGATCGGGTTACTCGATGGTGTACAGTAGGAGGTGTTTGGGATCCCATTGACAAGGCACATTAAATTTCATTACGGGTGATTGGATTGGGTGTTTGCGGGGGGATACTCGATGCACAATGACCCGGCGTTGGCTTCTCCATTGGGGCACGGTAGTCGTGCGGTACTCGCCGCGGGAATGAGGTTTGTGTACCTCTTTGCAGAGTGATTATCGGACCGCTGGACATGGCGTGGGTGTCCAAGGAAGACCCGTTACGTCAATGCAGGACTGCGTAATACGGTATTGCTGGTTTTTTAGGCCTTAATGGATGTTTATTTTGATGTTCATTAGGGACCGGTGGGTATAGCGGAAATATTAATGGCGGGATGGGTTTTTTCCGGCGGGATTACGGGGCAATTCTTGATGACGAACATGTCTACTGAAATTTCAAGGAATTTTGTCATTGAAAATCCGTGAGAACTGTAAATTTCAGTTGAATTCTTCCGGAAAAATTGATTAATCATCAGGAAGTTTTATAGAATTTCCAAGAATGTTGGAGGGATTTTCTGAATGTTCAAGAAAATTTGGGGGTGAATATTGATTTTCCCTCGAAAATTCATGCGCTGATAGAAACGATTAGTTATTAACGAATGGATTTGGTTGGAGACGAGGGTCTATTCGGCCTCACCAAATGTTCATTCGTTAATAGTCAACAAATGCATATTTAAGGAGCCTTGTTTGACTTGATTTTCACTTTTGAAGAGAACCATTCGTTAACTATTAACGAATATTCATTTGGTGATATTCAACTCTACCATTCGTTAATAGTTAACGCATCTCGTTCAGAATAAATTAATCAATCTATCAGTATGTTGATTGCGAAATTTCCGTCGTCCTGCCAATAAAGAAATTGGAACTTTACTTAAATTTTTCGAGAAATTAGGAATTCAATGGATTTTTCCCCTCAAATCGAATTGAAGGTCTTTTTCCAGGAATGCCGCCAAATTTCTTCAATCACGTATGTCCATATAATACCCGGAGAGAAATTCTCTACAAAAATTGTAGTGACAGGAAAAAATTTCAGTGTCGACACTAGAAAATTGATTGAGGAGCACGTGAATTTTCCCCATTCTTACATAAAACTTTCAGTAGTAATACCCCAAGAGCTTCAAAATTTTTGGGTATTTCCCGATAGCTTCGTTGCAAACAAAGGAGGTTGTCAAGATTTGCAGGTTAAAAAATCCCGAGGGCTTTTAGCGATTCTATCTGAAATGAGCCGAAAAACTGAAGAGTTACTGCGAAATATTCAGGTAAAAAAATGAAGAACTATTGCGAAACATTCAAAAGCCAAGAGAAAATATCCGAAATAAAACTGTCGGGTAGCCTCAAATACTGCGCTCTGATTAGTCGAAATCCGATTGGGAAAAATAATCACAGAAGTCCCCGGAAATTTTACCACACATTCGTATAAATTTTGCCTTAACAGCACTCGAATTTTTCACAGCCGGTGGATTGGCATTTTTTCCAGTACTAGAAAAAGAATTGTTCTAAGGAATTTCTCTCCGTGCGATTTTTAATTTTATATTTTCTCCCTGTAGATTATCCATAATGGAATAATGGCTATTGAACTCATGAAACAACTGGACACACCCTCGGCCTTGGCACTAATGGATGTTGACAGACCTCATTATCACACATTCTATCTCAACCTCTGAACGTTCTCCACCATTGAAAATCCAAAGTAAAACCCTAGTCATCCCCCATTACGTCATTCCACCGAGCAATGGCACTGATTTCACCCACCTCCACCCATTGTCTCCCCCATAACAAAAAAAAGAAAAAATTCCTCGTCATAGTTCATTCGACTGTGTCCCCGTAACGAACTCAACTGGTTTATAGTCGTGGAGTATAACGAGATATCCCTGGTAGATTAAACGTAATGATTCCTCTGAGGGATACCCCTTAACAATATATCGCAATTACTCATCTGTAAAAAAATCGAGTTGAACGCTCGCTACATCCATCCGTGCGGAAATTTCCACTTTTGTGCCTGGAATAGCTTATAATCCCTCGTTTTTAATCTCCCCAACGACTCTGATAAAAGCGAATGTTCGCATTCCTGGCATTTACCTACTTCACACCTTCAGATTATGATGAAAGTGTTCTAGGCATAATATGCAGCGTCAG